AACATTTGGAGGCACGATCCGAGTCGGCGGGCGCATTCGGGATATAACCGCTGCAGTCGTACTTGGCATTCGCATAGCAAGCAGGTAGGGGCCGAGAGCGTACTCCGTGGACGGTAGTGCGCCGCATCGACGGAGAACTCTTCCCGGCATCTGCAGGGCTTGCGGCGCATTAACTTAAAACGAACATGGAAACACGCAACGGACCATAGAGAGGAGAATGCCGTGAGGAATACAATAGTTTGCATCCATACAGAGAGCCCTGGTAGTACATCCAATAAATCAACGCGGCACAAAAGAAGCAGCAACCTTGCAAAGGTAGGAGACGACAGCGCCGTGGAGCGGCGATTAGCAATAAACGGTGAATATCCTAGCGAACTGCCATGACAAGTCGTGACGATCGTGGAGGGTCGTGAGAGGTCGTAAGAGTCGTGATAGTCGTAACGGGTATGGTGAGCGCTGGTATAAGTTCCGGAAAGCGAACAAGGTCTAGCAACGAGGTCTATGAAAGCCTGGTGAACCGGTCAGTGAGACGTGGCGCACATGTCGAGCCTGGCGGCAACGTACGAATAGGATAGCAACGTCACACTCGGCGTCGGTGAGTGACCCACCGACGCCCGCACTAAGAGCGTTATGACGAGAGGCTTTTCACGCTTTCACTCTGCCCTCGTGGGCGAGTCTCGTAGGCCTCGGCCGTGCTGCGTCTTGATGGGAGTGCAGAGTCGTCTTGGGATTGGCTGGGTGTGAAGAATGTGTCTTCGCCTTCAAACGGCGATGACTCGGAATTTATCTAGGGTTGGATGAGTCTCCCCCACTTGGCGACGTTACAGGACGTCTGCACTCACCCAGCGGCCCAAAACCTCCGCTAGCTGGTTCGCTTCGTCGGCACTGAGGTCAAGGTCCTTGCCGTTCTCGGCGTGGAGTTTGAGGAGCTCGCTCAACGTCCGCTTGCGTGTTTCGCCCTGTGCGCCGTCGGGCCCCCGTATCGAGCGGTCCCAGTCTTCGTTCTGGTTCTCGGAGCCCGAGACGGAGAGCTGGGAGAAGGCGAGCTGCACGTTTTCGGTCATGGTCGTCGCTGCGGCGAGAGTAGTGCGGGGTGTGGAGCAGGCCAGAAGTACTATGTGCAGGATCAGCCGTCGAGGCGTCGATATAAAGCAGGCAGGCGGGAAAAATAATAGCAGGGCGCAGCAGGGACCGGAGCAGGCTGGAGCAGGAGCGTGACGAGAAGGACCTCGACCAAGTCAACCGGCGCAACCCCCGTGGGAACTGATGGCTTTGTGGGGTCCCCGCCTCCAACGCGCCTGCGGGGTCTCCGGAATCCGTCGCAACGCCCGTCCTCGAGCTCGCGAGATGCAAGGCACGACGTCCAGTCCAAATTGCAACCTGGTGTCGAGTGATCCCTGCGTGTCTCGTTTTCTTCTCAAATTTGTGGTTTGAGATTGCTCTACGCACAAGACTTGCAATATTCACACGTGCAGTCGAGTCAGCACTGCCCTTGGAGGTGAGCCTGAGGCTGTTCCGCGGAGGAAATGTACACCGACTCACACCGACTCATAGCCACGCATGCTCCGGACTTCCAGCTTGGGTTTATCCAGTGTATCCTTGCCAAATGAGTAGATACTGTGACAACCTCGCCGCGGAGGTTCCACGCCGGACGCTCTACAATGCTATGAAAGCGTCGTTGATATCATGCGGAAGCCCATTGACAAGAAGGCTCAGTATGGTGTCTTTTGAGATAGCATTGAGTACGAGATGCTCTTTGACGCGTCTCCGAACGGGAGCTGGCCCTCTAATCGTGATAGGTAGCTCCGCTGGCTGACCTGAAGTCGAAAGGTGAACATGGCTGTGAAGCCACATTGTACCAGTGGCGACAACTAACCAGTCTTCATGCAGAAACATTCACGGCATGTTCAGGGTATTTGTAGATGCATCTCGTCACATCGTGTGTCAAAGTATGTACACCGATGCTCGCTCCGCATTGTGCGCGGTCGACGGAGCAGCGTCCATGCTGGCACTCTCAGGGTGAGTCTACGCATACGAACTACCATGCGAGTTCTCCTCATTTATGATTTTCGTGTCTTAGAGTCACATCAATGTGGCGACGGAGATACAGCTTACGGCTCCCATATATCAAGCTTTGATGAGTGGGTGATCCCCACGGAACGAGAAGGGACCGAGGACGAGAGGACGCCCTTAAGCTCAAGCTTTGAAATCTCGCAGTAGCCCAAGACAACCTACGATGGTCGGAACACGTCGTTCCTGCTTCTAGTGGGAGACCCAAAGATGACATCAGGCAGTCCCACCGATGGACTTCTCGCGAGCGCGTACGTCTTTCATTACACACCGGAGACTCGCCTTATTCCTAACTCTGAAAACCGCTCAGAAACTCGCAAAAAATACCGTGCGCAGGCTACGGCCCTAGCCGACTCGGAAGGTGCATCCCGCGCGACGTCGTTTCACTGCGCGCGTTCGCGCCACCCAATCGGCCAGGGCAGCCTCGCAGGGGCCGCGGGGACGCGGCATGGCGCGCACACCGCGCAGCTGCATGCCACGGGCGACCGTCTTCTGCCGTGAGCGTTGGCTGGGCTCCACGCACTGACATCCGTGGATTCCCGCCGGGCCCGCCGACCGTGCCGCATCCCTGGCACCCAAACATTTGCGTGCACCATTGCGCAGATGTCGAGAGAGGCCCTTTGCGCCGGGGCAACATTTTAGGGGTGTCCGTGCAGCGCACCATGTCCTCTTTGCCCGCAGCCAGGCGGTATAAGTAGCTGCACTCCCGTGGAAGTGCTACGCAGCTTCTGTCTTGCAGACATGGGTCCCGCAGCGGCGCCACTCCCCAAGCTTTTGCACCACATCCTCCACAACGCGTCCGAGTATGAGGAAAGGTGCGTCGACCCTCCCGCTCTTCACCGATCAATCTCTGACGCCATCCCCAGACTCGCCCGCCCGTTCGTGCCGCCCACTGTGTCGCTCAAGGATATCCGTGATTCCGTGCCGAAGCACCTGCTGCGCCGCGACCCTTGGCGGTCCTCCGCATACATCGTGCGCGACGTCATCCTATGCGGCGCTTTGTTTCTATACGCGTCGCGGATCGACGTGCTGGCCAAGACAGGCCTGTATGGCGTCCTGCCGCATACCGCAGCGTGGCAAGTCGGCATGCTGAAGAGCATGCTCTGGCTGAATTATCTGTGGTGGCAAGGGCTCGTGTTCGCGAGCTTCTTCTGCCTGGGTGAGCCCTTTTTTCGCGGCCTCACTGCCTCGACACTGAGCATGCCTTGACCCGCAGCACATGAGGTAAGCACTAATGCTGGAATGCGGTCACACTCCGGTGCTGAGTCCACCGCCAGCTTGGTCACGAGGCACTGTACAACTCTTGGTATGCCAACAACATCGCCGGGTTCATCCTCTCCACGGTAGGCTTACACATACCTGCGTCAGCCCATGCTGACTGGCCGCCAGTTCATTCTGCTGCCGTTCTATTCGTGGAAGGCTACACACAATGCTCATCATGTACGCCACGCAATCACGATATGCCAGCTCTGCGTCCATGCTAACCAGCGAGTCATCACTCCCATGTACAGAAAGCCGTTGGGTCCATGGAACGTGACGAGAATTATGTTCCACACCTCCGCAACCGCTACCAACTTCCGTCCGGAGAAAAAGCCACAAAAGCGGACTACGCAGAGGCCTTCGAAGAAACCCCGTTTGTGACCCTCTGGCGTATGATCATGATGCAGACCTTGTGAGTCGCACTCTTCTGCAAGACAGCATCAAGCTGACATATCGGCCCCTGTCCTCAGCGGATGGTGGTTCTACCTCAGGCACGTTGTGTCCCACGAGTCCACGACCTGCCCCGGATGTGAACGCTGATCGTTGTGTAGCGCGAACGCTATGGGATCCGAGATGTATCCCCAAGGAACGAACCATTTCTCGCCTTATTCACCATTGTTCAATGATAAGCAACGTGAGTCGCCTCCACTTCGTCTTGGCTTGCTCACGAGCTGATCATCGATAGGACGGGGGATCCTGATGTCGGACATCGGCTTGATTGCTATGTTGTCTGTATTGCGCTGGTTCGCTGTGCGCTGTGGCCTGTCATACTTCATGTTAGCGTACTTTATCCCATACATGGTATGCCAAGCGCGCAACATGTTACGCTTCCTTCATTAACCATTCGCACACCAGCTCTGCAACCACTGGATCGGTGCGTCCGCTCCCCTTCTGTCCCTAACTTTGATCTGACAGCGCGACACCAGTGATGTGTACGTTCCTGCACCACTCGGACCCATCAATTCCACACTACCGCAAGGGCGCTTGGACGTACGTCCGCGGCATCATCGCGACAGTCGACCGTCCGCTGCTCGGCTGGATGGGGCGCTTCTTCCTGCACAACGTAACGCACCCGCCGCTCCGCGTCCCCGTGCCTCCGCGCTGACGCTGTGCGACGCCCGCCCGCAGGTCTCGCACGACCATATCGCGCATCATTTCTTCCCGGGCACGCCGTTCTGTGGGTCGTGTGCCGCGCCCCACGAGCCGCACGCGCTGACGCATGCCCCGCAGATAATCAGCCCGCGATCACGGCGGCGGTTCGCGGCGTTCTCAAGGGCGACTACAATTACGACTCGACCGTGAGTGCCGTCTCTGTCGTGCGCCGGTGCCGTGCTGACTGCGCGCCAGAACTCGTTCTACGCGCTGTATCGCTCGTTTTCCGAGTGTGTGTTCGTGGAAGAGGAGGGAGACATTGTGTTTTACAAGAACGCGCGTGGGGAGGCTGCGAGGGCGGTGGATGAGGCTGCTTTGGGTGCCAAGACTGAGATTTGAAACGAAGATGCAAAGCTGGAGTACTGAGATGTGAGTCTGCTGTTGAGACCTGGTGGTGCTTATGTCTGTTTACTGTACAGCAATTCAAGGAGTGCATGTAACGTATGGCTTGTAGGGAAAACGTATAAAAACGGTTTCGGTTTGAAGCTTGGCGAGACCTCGAGGGGAAAAAATATACTAGCCCACCGCGAGGGTCGAACTCGCAGCCTTCAGATTGCACTCGGATTGCGTGCTATCAGCCCGCGCTCGTAAGAGTCTGACGCTCTATCCGATTGAGCTACACCGCCAAAAGTCTGAGGTATGGTGACCAGACGGAAGGGACAAGAAAGGTTCTGGAATTTGACGCCCGATCCAGGTGCGCAAGCGTCCGATTTCCATACTTTTTCGCCTCTGGGCACGGAGTATTTCCAGACAGGTATAGAATCCGGACGGAAGCTCGTATGGCAGCTGTCCGACCGTTCTGATAGATACCGCGCGCGGCCGTGCTCAAACAATTGTAACGGGGCAGGCATAAAGGGGCCATCTCAGGAAGCTGTGGGCGGAGCCATCGGGCAGAATGCATCGCACGTCGTAATGGAGGCAGCACGGGATTCAATTTGGACATAGTATATACGATACACAGGGTTCGTCTGGAACTACAGGCGGGTCTCGATAATGTCATCGATGGTCTGCTGCCATTCTGGGGTCTGCTGGGCGATAGCCTGCTCGTCGCCGTTCTCGATGACGCCCGTAAGTCTCGCGGTCCTGCTTCAGGATCTTGCGGAATAGCTTCGTGATCTTGGCAGGGTTTCCCGCAGCCTTGGTGCGGAGCTTCTCGAGTTCCTTGTCGACGGCGTTCCAGAAGTCGCGACCGGGATTTTTGCGATATGTCTTGCGCTATGGCGAGCAGTATCAGCACGTGAGAACACCAAAGGCATGAGGAAACTCACAAGTAAGGCGACCCGAGCACAGAGCTCGACAGAGGCCTCGCACGATGTGCCCTCGCAGAGGCCTGTGGTCAGCTCGTAGATGTTGAGATGCTCCGAGGCCGCCTTGTCCGTTGGTGTTCCCGCAACGAGCTGGTATTCATGGGAGGGTGGTCAGCCTTCGAGTTCGAAAGATATGCATGACAGAACGCACATCTTTCTTGATTTGCGATCGGGCTTCAGTTAGCTCGTCTTTGATAGCCCCGATGACCTTGCCCCACCGACCGCGGTTGCGTTCGATATCGGCAGGCAAGTCGAACAGGAAACGCTTGATGATTGCCTGCAGTCGTAATCAGTAGACCATAAGGCGTGCATATAGACGATGTGCTCACTGCGACATAGTTGTTGGGCACCGTGCCCTTGTACGACGAGAGGCGGCTCGAGAGCAGTACCCCCATGGAGTAGCTGCGAATGTTGGCCTGCCAGTGATGTCAGCGCACTGTTGCTGGAGCCGACGCGTCCAGCAACGCTCACGATAAGTTCCTCGGACGGCTCCCATGGCGGTTGGGCCACAATTATCTCGTCTTGCCTTTGCTGAATGCTGAGTAGGAGTCCGAAGGTCTTCATCTCGCGAGTCGCCGGAGGATCCTTAGCAAATATTGTGGTCAGCTTCGTCACAGCAATACGAAAATTAATGTCGAGCCATACCACTGCGAAGGAGTTCAGCTTCTCCTGCTGCTCTGGGCAGAGCTTCATCCGGGCACCGAGCCTCTTGGCATATTCAACGAAGTTCTGGTTGCCCGGCACTGTGCCGGGTTCAGCACGAGACGGTGTAGGTGCGGAGAATATGTCGACAATGTGTCCTGACGGTCCTGGGGGTGGGATACGCTCGTCGTCGTCCTCAGAGCCACTCTGTTCGTCGTCAGCACGAACACGTTTGCCGAGAACAGTGGGCTGCTGCTGAGGGCTACCGGGAGGGGAGCTGTCGGGCTCGTTGAGCATGTCGTCGTATTCGTCGTGCGATGTGGTGGAGGACGCCATGATGGGTGTTTGGGGATGGTGAGAGACAGGGCTGTGGCGGGCACATCCCTGCTTTTATCTTGGTTCGAGCGGTGCTTGGGCCTTTTGGTGGTGGCCCCTGCTCATGTGCCACTGAGCACAAAGACTCGGACTGGGCGATGTGTGCAGACCACCAAAGCACGAGTGGCGGCGGCCCACTCGTCATTTGTCACTCGTCTCTGCCACCGGCATGCATTCATCGCTTTCCTGCAGTCAGTCATGTCGAGTTCTGAGGCCGGGAAGAAATGTTCGTGAATTTGCAGGCCAATTGAATGACAGTGGCCATACTCACCTCAATGCAGACTTCGTTTCTGTTGGAGATGGCACCGAAGTGCGCTGTACAGTCTGTTCACCAGAGGAAGGGGGGTCGACAATCCTCAAGAAGAGCATGACGGCGCACATCAAAGGCCGTTCGCACATGCAGGCCGCGCAGGAATATGAGCGCCGGCAGGCTCAGCTTGCTGCAATGACCGAAACTCTCACTCAACGAGAGCAGCGAACAGGTGCAGCCGGGGCTGCACTAAATTCAATCGATGAATTTGCACATAATCGCCCCGACCGAGGTACTGCGAGCAAGGTTGCTCCGCAGGAAGACGAATTCTGGGCTGAATTTTCACGAAACCCGGACGCATTTACCTTCGATGCAGGCGAAGATGCTGGAATCGCACATGCCGCTGCACAAGATCGCCTTAAAAAACAAGCGGAGGTGTTTGGTTTATGAAACGCGCACTCAACTGCGCAGGATCTAGGATTTCGGACCGATGAATCAATCTCGGGAGACCCATTCCTCGAGCTGAGGCTGGGATCAGACGACCCAGACGAGTTTCTCGCGGATTTGCTTGCAAGTACAGGTACGAATAGCCCAAATTGCGCCTTCTTGTCTTCAGTATGCTCACGATAGTACCATAGACCTCGAACCACCACCAGTACAAGAAGCGGTCAATCAGGAAATACCAGGTCTCCGAGGAAGCGAGACTGGATCATCGACATCGTCGAACCCTTGGGCACCTTATGAGTCTCGCACGGTATGTCATTTATTTGCATCGGCAGCGTACGCTTTTACATGATGCTCTGCAGATGTTCCTTCTCGACACAATCGACAATTTACCTCGGTGTCCCATATCAGACTCGCTCATGCAAGTATTTCTCTGGACTCTCAAGGAGTCAGGTGCCCGAGATGTCCCCTCCTTCTATCGGCTACGACAGACACAAGAGCAACTACGTCAAAAGTGTGGAGTTCCTTCCGTCCGGTGCCAGTCTGAGCTCGGTAACATCTTCTATATGAACGATGTCCGCAGTATCCTTGCCAAGGCTGGTATCTTACTCGTTGATTATTATCACGCCATCTTACACCTGCTTTATAGGACTGGGCAAACCCGCAGACACGGCGGCACATTCGTGTGTATCCAGAAGTCCCCGATGGCGGTATCAGGGAGATCTGGCATGCGAACAAGTGGCGCCACGAAATGGATGCTCGCATGCTTAGTCCAATGTATGATGCCGGTGCTGGCAAGCATTTCTATGTCGATGAGCTTGCTCAGATGGCAGATGGAAGCTTCGTAATTCCTATCCGCTGGGTTACCATCCATGGCGCAGTTCATGCCGATGCCTTTACAGTGACGATTTCCCACGATGTATGTCTTCATATTTTTCTCCGCTTCGCTCGAGCTCATCCGCTATAAAGGGCGTCGCAACAGTGCATGATGCAGAGTCTATCGATATCGATGCTAGGGCTCTTAGGCTCAACTACCATGACCTGGTGGAGGCAGATATGCTTCCGACTCGCTGGGATGGTATATTATTCAATAATGTGGACTGTCACAAAGTACTGACCATCAATTCATTTGCAGACCGGGCCATAAGCTGGGAATATCCTCAGAACATGCCCAATCGACTACGCAAAATCGCTCAGGGAGACCCTTTGTACACCAGCTTCGTCGACTACTTCGGAGACGACGTGTCTGGCAATCGCTCCAAGTCCTGGAATAAGCACTGGAATGCCTATCTTACCCATCGCAACCTGCCTCGTGAGCTACTGCAGCAGGAGTTCCACACACACTTCATATCGACCTCGCAGCATGCATCGATTGCCGAGCAGTTTATGGCATTCAAGAAGGTGGTCGAGTCAACGCACACAGCCCCAGTCACCGTGCGAGATGGCGTCACCGGAGAGAATATCCGATTTCGCATCTATGTCAACGGCCAGCCCTCCGATAATCCGATGCAGAGCGAAGTGTCCGCCCACATTGGAGGCCGGGGAAACTGCTACTGCCGCAAATGCGACGCTGGAGGGACCAAAGCACACAAACAATCGGACGAAGGCTACGACAGTCTTTTCTACGCTGGTACACCACGCACAAAGGAAGGGATACTTCGCGAACTCGATAAACAACTGGAAGCAGCATGTACAGGAGTCGCGAAGGCTGTACAAGATCTTCAGACTGCTACTGGTGTCAAGGACGCATACACTCAGCACTGGATCAACTACCTCATCGATCGGGCGAAGAAGCTGAAGCAAGACGATAGCACAAGGACCAAGGATTCTATCTCTGACGAGCTTCTCAAGTGGGTGGATGACAACAAGGAGAAGATTATCAGCCCGTTCTTCACGCTCGAGGGGTTCGATCCAACACAGGATACCCCTATCGAAATACTCCACACCATTCTGCTCGGAGTTATCAAGTATATCTGGCATGCAACTCATACAGCCTGGAAAGATGCGGACAAAAATCTCTACGCCCATCGTCTTCAAGCTACAGATACAAGCGGGCTGTCGATACCAGCAATCCGGGCGCAGTACATTATGCAATATGCCGGCTCTCTCATTGGCCGCCAATTCAAGACAATCGCTCAAACATTCTCGTTCCATGGACATGACCTTGTGCCTGACCATGTCTTCAAAGTTTGGCTCGCAGCAGGAGAGCTCGCAGCTTTGTTGTGGTTTCCAGAGATTCGAAACATGGATGAATACTTGGTATGAACACATCGGCTACATTGATGGACAGAAATCGCTAAATTTAGGCTGTTCTACCTAGGACGACCTCGAAGTCGCCATCGCAAATGTACTCGATGGGTTCTGTGACATAGATCCTAGCAAGATCGTCGAGAAGATCAAGCTACACCTCCTTACTCACACCCGATCTGATATCCTTCGAACCGGGCCTCTGCCGGGATCTGCAACCGAGGGCTACGAAAGTTTCAATGCCGTATTTCGCAACTGTTCAGTCTTCTCAAACCACTTGGCCCCAAGCCGTGATATCGCAGCGCAGCTAGCGCAGCAAGAGGCATTAAAACATCGACTCACAGGAGGCTTCTGGCCAGAC